AAATATATAATAAATACATAATAAGAAAACATAATAAAGATAGTTAAAATAAAAATCAAGTAAATTTGAAAAAACTGTAATAAAATATAAAATAAAAAATCAAAAAAATATAATTAATATAAATTAAATATAATATAAATTATAATATAAAAATATTATTAAAATTTTATCGTAAATATTTTACAATTTTATCTTAAATATAAAATTCAATTACAAATATGCGTTAATTAAAATGATTAAAAAATAATTTGATTTTTTCAACTCAATATTTTAAAATTTTACTCGAAATTTCATAGGATAAGTTTATTTTATATTTCATCTCTTTATACTTCGTATGTAATTTGTCTGTGTCTCTACTTTGTCCATACCTGTTAAGTAAGATCGCAAATTGAAATATTTATCTTGAAAAAAATAAAGAAATTTTAATCAATCGTATGATTAATATTCCTTTTAATTTACATTTTTGTATGTATTAAATCTGATAATATATATTGCATTGTTATTATTCTTTTGATTACAAATTATCGACAAGTGAATCGTACAATGAAAGCTTATCAACCGAGGGAAAATGATGAAGAGGATTCCTAAGTTATCATATACCATGTGCAAGTTTTATATTACGAAATAAACGTAATAACAGAAATGAAATCAATATTTAATCATCATTATATCTTTGTATATAACAATATAATCCAATTTAGTTATCGTCCAATTATTTTTCTCTTAAAAATTTTTATATTAAATTCAGAAGATATTAAAGAATCGAGAAATATATTTGAAATAAGAATTCACTTATTAAAAATGAATTGAAATTTTTTCATTCTTACAAACGCTATACAGAACATAGGACATTGTGGTGTTAGGAAAACGAATCGCAAGATTAACAAAGAATCCCAACGAAAAGAGGTGTTCTCGTAGGTGTTGTCGAAGCACAAAGCTCTGTAGTATTAAGAGAAGGTCACCAATGATTTTAAGGCCCCGCCTACCGTGCAGTGGTTGGAAGCAACCCCTAGTCAGGGTAGCCCGCGCAGGGCTGATTTCTCTACCACGTTGTGGGCGTAGACGTACCATAGACACAACCCCCGATGCATACACCCCGTCTTTTCACTGTTCACTGAGATCAAATCACTCGTCTCAGTTCTATCTTTGATCTTGACGGTGCAGTAACGTGACTTTTAAATTATCGGGACAGTTCGTGTGATCTGTTCGGTCTGTCGATAACCCGTGTCATTTTCGTGAAATCTGTGACGAACGCTTTTGGAAAAATAGAAGTCTGAAAGGGGGGGACGAGAATGAATCAGGATCAAGAAGTACCAGCTACGACAACGGATCTAGCTAGACTGGTAAGATCAAAAAATATTTATTGTCTTGTAACTTGAATATTTAAAAGCTTCGCAATCACCCATAAACAGATATGCATTTCGATTAAATGCGACAATTATAATTATCGGAATAAGAAATAATTTCCTTCGTTAAGTGCAAAAGCAATGATAATTTCTGTTACGTACGCGAATTATATTATTTCCAAGTTATTTAATTCAAATTTAACCTGTTTCTACATTTTAATCTATCGACCCATTCAAATCGTAATTAACATAATATATAATAAAAATATTTAAAACACGATAATTATAACACATGAATCAGTCATCGATATAAAAACTCGATTACGGATAAAAAGGAAACTCGTCAACGTGACTCCCGTTTCCGATTCCCCCAAAAGTTACGATCTACGATTGGACAATGGAGTCATAAGCGTGAACAGAGAGATACGTTAAACGTCGGCATTGCACGCATAATGCAATGTACTCGCGCGATGATCCTCGAGTGTCGAATTGCCGTGGCACGCGCCACCACGCTCCGATAGATCGTCCCACGGGTGCCACCCCTTGTGTGCCCCCTAAACACGTAATTGTCGCCACCATTCAACCCTCCTGGTCACCCCGGTGGCGGAATATTCCCGTGCACGGGGCCACCACCGTGACTATGACACCGAGAAACCGTGGGTGGCCAAACCCTCGACTGCAACGACGAAGGGACTCGGCCGCGGAAACACTTGATTTATGTTTGTTGATTCAAAAAATCACTCGATTCCCACACATCGGCCCTGTTACGCCGATCCGTCGGTTAATTGACTCCTCTTTTATCAAGCAGCATATGCTGCCACTCGAGTTTCCCATGATTAGAGACCCCTTTTTCGGGGATCCACGTTTAACGCGAATTATTTACCTGGAAAGTTATTTGTTTCGATTAAAATTGTTGAAAAGTGTTGTGACGGCCGTCGAAACTTAGGAAGAAGGAGGAGGCTCGAAATGTGAACTGGAAATGAAAGGGTATCGAAGATACGCATCGATGAAATTGTTTTCTTCTTTTCACGAGAGAGAAAGAAAAAAAAGTATCGAGAGAGCAATTAGTAGATAGAGTCCGTGAGACATTGTAATCGTGAGATTTGCTGTCATCCACGGTATTGTTCGTATTCTTGGCTTGGAAACCGTCATTGTCTTCGCACCCTCGTCCGAGAGAAAGCGACGGAAAGGAAAAAAAGGGCGACGTTTTCTCGTGAAAGTGGCGGCAACGCCTTTTGCCACTCCTAATTGATCAAATTGGACGACCGACTCTTTGTTGAAAATTGGACGACCTTTAATGAAATAGAAAATCTTACGAGTTTGCCAATCCGATCCGATTTTTATCAAAATCAGATTATTACTTGTAATTTTAAAATCCATATCGATATCGAATCTCTTAAGAGATATTTTCTGGTTTATGTCGCGAATCGATGGAACGAAATCGACGAGAGATCTATATAGAAAGAGGGGAGTCTGGTTGGAACGTGTTGTCTGCTCGATGACTTTATTATAAACTGAACCGAAGTGCGCAATTACGAGGGTGGTGTACGAAGGGAATTGGGGTGACGACCCCTCGTAGCATCATCAGGAACGATGGGGCGTTCCTCACGATTCATGGGTATCTCGTTTTCACTGGATACAAACGTACGAATACGTTTGTCCGTACATGACACACGTATCCCAAACGATCCACTTACAAGCGCGTCTTTTACACGGAAACGCCGTTCCCGATGGGAAAGGTCAGGGGTACGTGGGGTAGAGGGGTGAGTGTACAGAAAAAGTTAAACGACACGCGACCATGTTTGCTCGCTCTCCTCAACGACTCGTTGCTCCGTTCAATGCACTCGATTAACTTCCGATCGGATGGACGAAGATCGGGTTGAACGGAGAGAGTTTTGTGAAAAAATCGTGTCACACGATCTCGTGTATTATTACGCGATATATGCGAGGTGAAGATATTTTTAAAATTTTAGATAGAATATGGATAGGGGAGAGATATGTGTACACAGTGAAACCGCACGATGCATTCTTTATCTCTCGCGTTTAACGCTGTCGTGCCGTTAAATACCGTTTGATATCGGGTTGGCGGGATTAAAGATTGAACGTAATATCGGGGAATGTAATTAAAATTTATATTAGAGGGCACAGCTTGTGGATTACGAGTGCTGAACCATCGCGGCGACTAATTATAAATGACTATTAATTGCAATCAGAGGAAAATCCAAGGGGGACGAGACTGAATGAACGTAAGACTAACTGAACCTGTAAAGGTGGAAGTTGATTATCAAGTCTCTATAAATGATAATATCCTGTCGAATTAAGTATAAAAGAAAAATGACGGGTAACTTGGCGATAAAGTGATTACCGCGTGTATATATAATCAATAAAAAAATATATATTTTTTTTTTTTTTTTGCGCCAACTATTAAATGACGGTAAACCGTTTAAAGAAAAATTAATCAAAAAAAGGATCGATCAAGAAGATTTTGACGAGTGAGTCAAGCGTGTTCAAAGTTTTCGTAAAAGCGAACCATCTTTTTCGATTTTTTTAAAGTGTAAGCGATCGGTAGAGGCTACAGTGAAACTTCATAAAGGAAAAGCAGACGGCGACAAGGCGTTATTGGAATTTCCAAAACCGGTAACCGGCTTTACCACTAGATTGCTCCGCAAGGAGGAAACCATCCAATCGTTCACCGGATGTCCTCCTTGCCTCCTCTCTCG